ATCCGTGACTCTGATCCTGATCCAATTGTCTCTCGAAATCCTTAAAGCTTAATACCGAAATTAATGTTTTATATAGAAAAACGACAAGCAGGACAGTATGTGACTGGAAGATAGTAACGGGGACAGATTCAGCTCAGATTCACGCTATGTTGGTAACATGTTTCAACATCGTTCGCCGTGTTTTTGTTTTTTGTTGCCGCCATCTTTCTCCAACAGGACAGCGTCCAGAACTGACCCACCCTTCGAAGGACCAATGTGCGTACACCAAGAAAAGGATCAGATGGTAATTAAAATTTGGAAATATATGTATTTATTGAGATTGAATTTTATAATATAATAGTACTACAAATATTTGTATAATAAATATTCGGATATATTTTACAAAATTATAATATATGTATGTTTATTTTCAATATTTCCAATCTAATTAGATGAATTTATTCATTCCAAAAGTTGTTATTAAACCCATATTCTATAGTTATTTTATCCTCACCAGGAGCAATCGAAATTTCTGAATCTAACCTTAACAAACCTTATAATTAGTCTCCGACTTTTCTCGGTGTAGTGTTTCCCCCCCTCTGGACCTCTGCCGATTGCGCATGTAAATCTTTTTGCATTAATCCGCCAACCTTAACAGTTGTTCATCTTCTCGTTGCTGCTACTTGGATTCACATAATGAAAAAGTGCGAAATCCCCAGGCAAAGTCCTGCCCATCCACATATACTATACGCTTGGATATGTATGTATGTTTCAATGGGAGTGCGTGTCCCGCATATGTCCGGCCGCTGAGAAAATAAAATTTAATATTAATGCACTTAACACATTTTTCACTTATGCTGTAAAAAGCTGTATATACCGGCCGTGCGCGATATAATTTTTGTCACTTTTTTTTTAAGCTCACACATTTTCCCTGCACATAATTACGAATTGATTTTTTTAATGATAATGTTGGGCAGTTCTCCTGTTTTATACCTGCTAGCATGAGGGTCGCTGTGTTGTCCAGATATTAGGCATATAATAAGTACTTAAATAGCATTATCTTAAGGTTGTTGAAATTGTGTTTACTTTTCCTTTTTTCCTTGAATTTCGAATATTAATAAATACATATTTGTATTTAAGAGGTATATTATAGTCGAAGATTTTAACGGCAGTGGTAAGCGTTTTTGCTCTTTGTGTTGTAGTTGCGGTGCTCATTAAGGCCTTTTGGGCAAGTGATTAACACAAGCTGTTGCATACCCCCGAGCGTGGGCGGGGAACCCCCCACAATAACCCCACACACACACTACCACAGTAAAAAAAAAATGAGTGTAAGTGTTGCCTGCCTTTGGGCTAGACCATTTGGTTGGTGTTTGTAGCGAGGCGTTGGAGCATGAAGGGCAACATTTACATGTAAAAGACAATTGCCAAATGAGAGGAGAAGGAGATGTAACAAAAAACACCCAGTACGAAATGAGCAAATAGTTTGGCAACATGAACCATAAATAGCCATTGGCTGCAAACCCGGCTGTGCACTTGTTTCCAGATGTTTCTGCAGGGTAAGTAAAAGGTTAAAGCCTAATAAAATATACAACATTTTCGGAAACAAATAATTTAAAATAGTTTTAAGAATGTATTGTACAAACTGAGTATACTCGCAATATTATCAAAGCTTAAGAAATGTTAACCTAAATTTAATCAATTCTTAAGCAGTATCTTTAATTTAACTAGCAACTAACAATATAACTAAATAACATAATAAAACCTCCCTTCCTAAAGAAAGAGGAGTGCTTAATTCAGTTTGCTTTTTAACAAGAAGAAAAATATCCAATTCAAAACATTATTATTGCACATTCTAAAAAACGTTAGAATAAAATAAGCAACCAGAACTTGTGCTAAAACCACTTACAGTACCTAATACCCATAAAAGTACAAGAGCAGCAGAGCAAGCAACCTGCTACGAACCTGAGCTGAGCTCAGCTTGGGCTCAGGCTTTCAATTAAGCCCGATATGTACTTTCACTTCATCGCCTCGAATCACTTTGATCCGAGTCTAGTTTACTTTATTTTCGCCATTTTCCTTTCCCCCCGTTTGGTTGGGAAGCCTTTGTTGCCACGAAAACGGAAATACCAACAACTACAATCCCGGAGCACTTAAATCCCCATGTAATTACGGGCATGAAGAGTCGCATCGTGGGTGGAAAAAAGAGGAGATGTGAGCTTTCAATTCAGTGTTCCATTCATTGGGCTTTCAATCATATTTACCATTGGATTTTATTTGGAAGTTTTGTTCCGTTCAGCTCTGGTCTGTTCTTAGTCTGCTGCGGCTGCAGCCCACTCTCTGGCATATAACAAATGTTTGTGCAGTAAATCCTTTTGCCCCTAAAACTATCTTCTGCTCCCCACGCCCAACTGCTTAACATCCTTTCTTCGCCCCTTTCATTGTCATAATTGTCCAAGTTACGCACATTAATGTCCGCATGACAATGATGGCCAAGTCTGACCACAATGGAGGCAGAGTTAAGAAGGAATCACAAGCTGTGGCAAACTGAAATCATATAAAATCAGTTACTTGTCAAGCGCATCTCAGAAATAATTATAAATTTAGTTCATTATTAATTTAGTTAAATTTCCTTTTTAATTTAGTTATTTAATGTACGATAAGTAGTAACCAAAATCTTACTAATATTAATTTGACCTCAGCTGTAAACATATAGTATAAACCCCCCTTTCTTGGTAACACCACACCACTATCCCCGCCACGCCTGCATCCATGGTGTCCTTTCGCCTACCGCGCCCTATCCCTTTGCTGTTGTTTTCTTTGTTGTTCGTGGCAAGTCAGCAGTCAAGTGGTTGTCTGTCTCCACTCAAGTGTCAGCAGGACTCAGGACTGTCCTCTGCCCGTCACACACTAACACAGCGACCGGGCACACACTCGCACAGGGATACAAGCTGGCAGCGATCCAAGTGGCTAAAAAGGGAGACTTAGTTGGAGGACACTGCGTGTGCCATTTTCACTTCCACTTCCGCCCATAGACACACACACACACACACACACTTGGGCGCATAATACATACGAGCCTGCATATTATGCATGCACACATACTTACATGCATATGCACGAGTCCTCCGCAATGTTGTCAGTATGCGAGTCCTGCGTCTAATCGTAAATATTCGTAGGCCCAGTTTTGCTGCTTGATCCCTGGCTCTAAAAGCTCTGGGCCGCCCCTTTTGCCAGTTCCTCGGGTAAGTTGTGTAATTTTCCGGCTTGGAAACTTATCTCGTTTTCCACTGACTCGGCGTCCTCTTTCCAGATTTCTTTGTCATGGGTGTAGTTTTTGTTTAGTTTCTTCTACGGCTGCCCGAGTTTATGAGAACTGAACAGAAACATAAAAGAAAGTGAAAGTATTATTTTAGTTTCCAAAAGAGTTGGGAAAAATATAGGGTTTTTTGGTTTAAAGAAAGGATTCTAGAAAGCAGAAGCGTACAAAAATTAACAAAATATATTTCAAGTTTTGAAGTATTTATATAAGTTAATAACATTACAACAGTACTTATGGAAATGTTTTAGTTTCGTTTTTAATTTTTATTTTTGGTTATACAAGTTCCCTTTCTTATACACATCCCCACCTTATGAAAATATGAAAAAAAGAAAGAAAGGAAAATCGCACACTCAAACACACGGGATTTTCCTGTAAATGAACTTTCCGAAAACACCTTACAATTCCTCTTAAATCTTTAAGGCGAAACTCTCGCCCAAAACTCGCTTAAAAACTTGCACTCGAAACTTCATCTGCCTCACAAAGAGCAAACACAACACCCAAAAGAAGATCTGGCGCCGTCCAGGAGGAGAATGGGCGGCGGGTAACATCGAGGAAAATGTGAAAAATCTGCGGGAGCAAGGCGGCTGGAGGGGGACGAGGTGGAAAATGGTGAAGCGGCCACTTGTAAGCAAACTCAAAGCGGAGCCGTTTCCAGTTTCAAATATCAACGACGGCGTCTGTGAGTGCTTAAGCTCATCTATCAAAATATTTGTCGTAGCTTAAGCGAAGGAAAGTATGTTAAAGGAAACTTGAAAAATATTGCCAGAGCAACAACGGCCAAACAGCAACAAGAGCAGCGGGAGAAGGAGGCCCAGAGCAGCCCGACAAAGGCCGTGAGACCGACCAAGAAAGGTATTAAGTGGTTAAGGGTTAATTGAAGATTAATGTCACCTAAATGTTATCATTTTTTGCACTTTGTCTTAGGCTTTTCCTTTGTAGTACTAAAGAGTGGAAAAAGGTCTTTAGAAAGATTTAAAAGAAAACAGTATTAATTCATATTTATATAGAATTCATTCAGTGGAATCTCTCTACTGCAGCTACAGTCGACTGCAGTCGTGTGTGGATAATTTAAATATTCTTCAAAAGTTCGATTTGATCCCTGGAAAATTGATTGTCCTGTATTACTTAGAAAACACATTTATCCTTCTACAAACCAGTTTGCAAAACAAACTATACATTAAACGAGCACATTTTAAAAGCCTTAATTTAATTTAATAATTTGACTCAATGCAAGCGATTGGATCTAGCCTTCCCAAGGAATTTTAAATTAAATCTATATATAAGGTAAGAATATAATTTCTTGTAACGTATATTTACTAAATACAACGGTCAAAATTTATTATTATTGAATTAAACATTTTTATTTATAGTTTACCTAATTAAAGTTTCTTTTGTTTGTGATTTTTGCTGAAGATTAACAAATTGTATTTATATTTCAAGACTTTTTGTAGGACATCATTAGGCGGGACATGTATATGCATGAAAAACTGCACGTTTTGCGAAAAAGTTGCTCCTTTCCGTTTCCGTTATTTCATGGCGCCACCTACTGCCTGAGAAAGAAACCTCAGAATGATATAGCGTAAAGCAGTTAATTAGTGGTGACACTTTCAAGTTGTTTGGTAAAGCAGTATATCGATAAACGTTCCACGAAATCGGAAATTTTCGCGCCTTTTCTGGGTTTCTTAGGGGAAGAACCAAAATTTGCATCTGGCCACACTTCTTCGCGCAAAAAAACACAAATTTCACAAATTAAAAAACAAACCTGGAAATGTCGCTGAAAAAGGCCTTGGACGACTGCCTAATTGACTTTGATCGTCGTGTCCTGGTGACCGATCTGCTCGAGGAGTACAAGCTGCCCTACAAGGAGGTGCACGAGCTGCTGGAGGCCTACGTCGGTAGCCAGGAGCCGGCCACCAAGTTCGACAAGAGATTCCTCGTCCGCGGAAAGCGCAAGTATGAGGAAGGCGGAACCAATGCTGGCGACGAGCTCTACTCTGTGGTGCGCGAGAGCCAGCTGCCGGACTGGCTGGCCAAGCTACAGGATGCCGAGTCGCAGCTGTACAGTGTGGAAGTCGCGGGCGGCTCCAAGTCGCCGGCCATGATCTTTAAACCCATGCAGCATTTGGAGGTGAAGCTGGCCAACGTGGAGCAGCGAGCGGGCAACCCTGCTCCTGCCTCTGCTCCCACTACAAATGGTGTGCACAAAACCAATGGCGTGGCGCCTCAGACGTCCAAAAAGCCTGTCGTAAAATCTGAGCCGGCCAAAACTTCACCAATTAAAGCAGAAAAACCTGCCGCCAGCAAAGATAAGTCACCTCCGGATGTTAAGAATACCTCACCCAAGGGCCAGTCCTCGAAAGCCAAGCCGGGATCAACTGGTGCAGCCAAAAAGGGCAGCATTAACAGCTTCTTCACAGCAGCTGCAGCTGGAAGTAAGCAGGGTGATGTCAAGGCCACTCCTAGCAAGGCGTCTACCAGCAGCATGGACAACTTCCTCAAGAAGCAACCGCCGGGAGCAAAGAAGTCACCACCGAAAGAGTCCAAAAAGGCTACTCCCGCTGCAGTCAAAAAAGAAAAGACTCCCGTCAAGAAGCAATCCCCGGCCAACACTTCGGTGCAACTGTTCGAGGAGGAAAGCGGTGACTCGTCCGACGAAGAGGAGAAGCTGGACAAGATCCGACGCAAGGTTATTGGTTCGGACAACGAGTCCGATAAGGAGAAGCCCAGCTCCAATAGCAAGCGGCGACGTATCGTGGACTCCGAGGACGAGGACGAGGAGCAGCCACCCAAGAAAACCGCCGAAGAGCCCGCCGTGATTGATGTCGAGGAAATGGACACTGAGCCGGCAAACGAAACGTATATGGATGAGGAAGGATTCGTCATCACCCAGAGAAAGCCAACAAAAGCTGCCCCACCGCCAGCCAAGAAGAAGATATCTCCCAAGGCCACTGCACCGGCCAACAAAAAGAAATCTCCGCCTTCGACAGGTAAGGGGGGAGGCGATGGGACCAAGACTAAACAGGCCGGCATAATGAGTTTTTTTTCGAAGAAATAATTCAGAGCATGAGGAGATGTAAAAGCAGCACTTAATGTATAACAAATTATTCTTTAAAAAATAAATAAATATAAATATCCATCTTGAATATATTTGTAGTCGATGCAAAGTTAAAAAATTTATTTGGTTTGTTGTTAAAAAGAATTTTTATTGCAATTGTTTATAGCTGCTAGAAGTTTGAGTATTTTGTTTGTAATTTGTTGAATGTATTTATTTAAATTTATTCGCGTGTCCGATTGTATGTGTGTGTGTGTGTGTGTCATTGTGTGTGTTTAGCCTGGCCTATGCTTTATCAGTGCGTTTTGTATTTGTTTTCAATTTGTGTCGTCGTTATAATTAGGGTACTTTTTCAAAACACTTTCAAAAATTAAGGCGAGGTCTGAAAAACATTTCATTCGTTCATTTCGTTCGTACAATCTGAATATTTAATAAATTTAAATTTAAATTGTTCATTTATTTTGTTTGTTTTTTGTCGTTTGTTTCTGCAGTGATTGCGTTTGATTCCTATCTGATTTTTAAGCATTAAAAGCTTACAGTCAGGCTGCCCGATGGCAAGCAATTACATATGTATGTGATTAAGGAGGGGACTTGGGATAAAACGACTCTCTTCAAACTGTAGCAAACAATCGAGATCAGCGGCTAAGCTTAGGTAAAAGCTTCTCAGAAGCTAAATAATGGCTTATACTTAGATTTGCGTCGATTATTGTTTCGATTAAGTTCTCCTCTGTGATGGCTCACTGTAAGACCAAAGATCCCTCTCAAACAATATATATTATAAGGTCTTTGGTTAGATCTCCTGGCTTACAGTGACCCCATCAACGGGACTTTGCAATTGAAGCTTTTGTTAATTCATAAATATTGCTCGCCAAGCTAAATGAAAAGTCATTTGCTATTTAATCATCAATCAGTTAATTAATAATTTCCTAGATGATATGAACATAATGTGCATGATATGACTCTCTACTAATATGATCGGTTTTTGATTCGTCTCTCCCTCGCATCGAATTGCATTGACTTAATCACCTAAATGAATGTAACATTCGTTTCGTACAATGTAATATCTCAGCACCATTTTTTTTAATAATAGCACAAAGTATGTATGTAGGTAGGTTTCATAGGGGTCAACAATAGAATTTTCCTAGCTTTTGTGTGTGTTTGTTATTTTGGATTCTCTACAGAGTAAAATAAATCTAAGTTAATTTAAGTTTGCTTGTTTGCTTGTTTCGATTTCTCTTCTAAACTTGCGTATCTACGACACTGCCATAGGACTCTTCAGCAAATTTGGGCGCAATATAATCCTCATAGTAGTTAATGAATATATCCTTGAACTCATCGGCAATGAATTCCAAAGCGTTTAGCATTTGCATTAGCTCCCGGTCGTTGCACTTGTAGTTGCTAAGCGCCATCACGTCCCAGAAGTAGGCGAAGTACTTAACATACTCGATCGACTGACCGCCGTACTGGGCCATCACGCTGGGCAGAACGGAGCGCATGATGGAGCCGAGCTTGTTGAACTCCCAGTCGTCCAGCACGGTTGCCCCTTCTTAATGTTGGTATCAAGAGATAGGAGAGAGCAGAGGGAGAAGACAGAAAACAGATCAAAAGTTAGAGTTTATTGGGATAGATAGTATAGGGGGGCCTAAATAGGGATATATTGAAGGACAGTCTAGGCCTTGTTCCCACATAGAAAAGTTAGATTTCGATATATTTGAGAGTCAGATTTGTTATGAATAAAACAGAAAATCTGAAGCTGTTGGAAGGGTGCTTAACCGAGACTCCGAGAGCTGGCAATGAGTACAAAGCGAATAAATCATGGAGCCTTCATCTCCACAGATGTATGTATTTGACTTACCACGGTGCACCATGAGGCACTGCTCCAACAAAAGCCTCGCCAGCGCCACCTTGCACTCGTGCAGCTCCATCAGCTGACCCTCCGCCCGTTCGATGGCCGCATACAGCTTGCACCGCTCCTCTATTAGTTCGCAGTCAATAAGCGCCGTGTGGAAAGCCCAAAACCATTCCAGTTTCTGGGGCTCGCTGCAGTGGGGACACACGATCAGCTCGGCGCCATTGTACTCCGGCTGGGTGTACTCCTCGGACAGCCACCAGCGCAGGTTTGGGGCATGCGGCATGGCGTCGAGGGTAAAGATTTCCATGCACTTTGGGTTATCACAACGATAGCGATGGAATTTGTGCTAAAAGAAAGACCAAAATCTTAGGTTGAGTTGGAAATTTGAAGAGTTTTCCCTTACAAATTGATCTTCCGTGTGAGAGAGCTGACAGGCGGAGCAATGGCATCTAATGCCGCGCTCCTGGAGAAGCTTGCTGCGTTCCTCCCTCCGCAGCTGTTGGAAATTCCCACCGGCAAAGCAGTTGTATATGCCGGATCCCGCTGGCAGATCGAGCAGGGCCAGAGCAGTCATCTTTCGGCCCGAGAACTTGGTGCAAATTGTGGAGGAACAACTGTGACGGCACAGACTCAGCGTTTCCGGGTAGACGGCATACGAAACGACTGCCACCTCGCCAGCCAGAATGTGGAGGTGGCCCTCCTGCAGGCGCATGGGGGCTGCCCACAGCTGGAACTCGTTGAGCGGCGAGAATACATGCGGATCTGTGGGCAGGACGAAGGAACGGCACAGCGTCATGGACCTGTGGCGCAACTGGCCAATGTGGCGCATCAACAATGCGGCACAGAGCAGCTCCCATTCCGCGCTGGACATCCTGGACGCCGTTGGCAGGCTCTTCTCCAGCTGCTCGAAGAACGTGGTGCACTTGCTAAGGTAAATGGCCAGTATGTGCGAGGTCAGGGCCAGCGTAATCACGGTCTCCGAGGCCTGCTCTTCCCTTAGGTGTTCCAATCGCAGCACAGCACTGTAGGCGATGTCTGGCCTCTCCAGAAGTCCCCCATTGATGGCCGACCATAGCTTGCTCAGCGTTGGTTTCTTTCGACAATGGACCAGCAACTCCGGCAGTCCCGTGATCAGCATCCGGAAGGCGAGCTGCAGCAGACGGGGCATCGCAAAGACGTCGCCAAACGACTCGAACAACTCGATCTGGTGGCCAAAGCATTCCACGGCATGGATCGCAGCATGCTTAAAGCGGCACTGCCGCGAACAGTACACCACAAGGCGGTTGGAACAGTAAATGCAGGGAAACGGAATAAACTGGGTGATTCCGCAGTAGTCGCACACGCGGCAGGCTCCGCTCGGCACCATCGCCATCGCTTCGGACTCGAAGATCAGCGCGTTCTTGGCCACCGCTCGCGTGGTGTGCAGCGATGAGGAATTGTCCAACCAAGCACTGAAAAAATAGTTGTGTGTCAATGAGTAATTATTATAAATGTCTACAAGAATACATATATTTTTTTAATTATTTTAGTTTGTTTTTAATTAATTTGTTTGCCACGTTAACTTGATTTTACTTCTTACATTTCAAATGGCTTCGAGTCGTTGGTATCTAGATCGTCTCCCGTCTGCACTGCCATCTCGAATCGCTCCACCTTGAGCACCTCACATTGGTGCCAGAGCTCGTGGGTGCGTGTTTCAAAGACCTGGTTCAGTTCGATGTGCAGGAGCTCGTGCAGGTGCTCCTCACAGAGCGCAAAGTTACGCAGTTTTAAGGCACAGGCGGCTTGGCGCAGCTTAATCAATGGCAAATACTCTTCCGGATAACCTAAGTCCAGGGCGCACAGGCAGTCGTCATAGGATTCCTAGGTGGGTGGCAAGGAATAAGAAATATTAATTTAATTTTTAAATCAGATAATACAAATTAATAATCATTTAAAATAATAAATTATTGCTTAAAACTCAAAGTGTATATCACAGTTTCTATCACAAATTTCCAAAAATTCTACAACATGCTGGAAATTAGCTGTCGCTAATATAATTGCTGTAAATGAGTATTGACTGACTAACGTAATGGTCCATTGTCTGAAATGTTCCAGATATGTCAGATATGATAAGCAGGGGGTAGAGCAGAACTTACCGCATATAGGCCACAGTCGTACAGGACCAGAGAGCGGTTGGCGTGGGCCAGAGCGGCTGCCAGGGTGTTACGGGCCGGGGCCAGGAAAATGGCCTCCGTGAACAGATCGCTGGCTTTGAGCGGATGCCTCTCCTTGCGGTACGAATCGTTGCCAGCCTCCCGCAGACGACGCGACTCCTCCTCCGACTTGAAGTGGCCCGTTTGGTGGCGCAGATGTTGAAACCATTTGAGTACGTGTGTTCTGTGTGCGGTCCGGGGAAGTGTTGTGGTTAATTATTCACGGAAAATGTCAAAACGAAATGAAATGACCCGAATACCGAGTTCGACAGCGAACAATGCTGCTTAACTTAAACGTACGAATGCATGCAATCAAAACATACGGCCGGGTGCCAGGGGTGCAAAATAAACGACAACACCGCCCAACTAAACACCCACCCACCCACAACCTGAGAATGTTACAAAACCAATTTTCTGAGCCAGATTGGCAGATTAGCAAAGCCGCACAAATTAAATTAATTTCATGGGGCAATTATGGATTTGCATAATGGCTTGGTTGGCCACCTCTCTGATACTAAACACACTTTGAGCCGACTCGTGAAATCGGCTTTTGACATGTTTTTCGCCTTGTCCAACAAGGTTAACAGGTACAAATTTATAAGATCGAATCAGGCACCGTGCAAAGTATAAATTATGTTGCCACTCTTTCAACCCCCTTATTTCAGGTGAATGAAATTATAGATCTTTGCTACAGTTTACATTACACATTATACTACAAAAATATTCTTCTTTCTCAAAAATAAAAATAAGTTACTAGTAGCTTAAGTACGCTTATGTAATTTATTTGTATTATTTTTTATATTATTTATGTGACCTGCTCAAAAACAAGGCAAATATGATAACAGGATATTCTTTTAAATGGAAAACTAACTACTCCCTCAACTTCTAAAGGGGATAATCTTCTATCCCGCTCAAAAAAAACCCCCCAAATGGTACACATAACCACCGTTTTGTCACCTAAAATCCAGCAGTGGCTCCTTGGTCGTGGCTATTGCTGGTGCGTTTGGGGAGGAAATACTCAAACCGCCCACAGCTCCAATCAGGTCATCATCCTCCTCGTTATTCTCCGGACGGGAAAGCGGCGCCGTCGACGTGCTGGCCCCTGTATCGCCATCGTCCAGGTCTCGGCTGAGCTTCCGGCGCTGCACAGGGGTTAGGAGCAGGACCAGCTGTAGCTCATCCTTGTATAGCAAATCCTCCGGATTAAGCTGTTTCAGTTGCTGGCCAATCAGGTCGCTGAGTGACACAACTGGAGGAGCGGGAGGAGGAGCAGTACCAGTAGCGGGAGCAGGAGCTGAAGAGGAAGAGGAAGCAGGACCCGTGGCACCTTTGTAGTTTCCACGCGCAGAGGAAGAGGAAGAAGCCATCACTTGGTGTGCCTTGCTGGTGCTTCGGACAGGCGTTTTTCTAATTTCGCACACGCGTTCCGTTTAGTTGGCCATTTTGTCACTGTGGCGGCAGTCCCGGCGAGTTAATGGCTATCAATCCGAGTGCACAACGCCCCGACATCGTTGACTAATAACGGTTGCTAAACTTTAACGAATTCCCGCACGTTGTGGCCTTCATATTGATTTTTAAAACATCGCCTGAGTGTTAGAGATGCGCCGTTTTTGTAACGAATAAATATCGTTTTGGGGGTGAAAGTGACCGTTATTTGCGAGGGATGGAAAAACACAACGCAAAATTAAAGTTAAACTAGTAATAATAAAATTAATCATTATTCTTAAAAATTTAAATTAATGTTACTTTAACGTATTCTTCTTTATTAAATTATTGTTTTTAATACGTAGAAATACGGAATATATTTCACTATTTTTGTCGACAGAGTTTATCACAGAAGGAAAACATTTAACTCTGGCTTAATAAATAAATCAATAAATAATAAAAAAATTAAATTATAAAAACACCTTTCTAACAACCTCATGAACTGATTTGTAATAACCTTAATATTGTCTTTAAGAAGTTAAAACACAAATAAAATTAATAATCAAAAAATTTTAAATCAATCAGTCTCGAAATAAAATAATAATAAAATAAAATGTTATATGTTAAAATTACAGGTAAAAGGATATGTATAATATTTATTATCTGAATACCACCGGTTATATGTCACCTCCGTTTTCCAACACCAACTACCTATGTATATACCACAAATATACCTGGAGCAATCTACTTTCAGACATCCGGCAGCCCCCGGCAAGCCGCCAAATTTCAAACTGTTGCTGGTTCCCATAAGTCTGTAGGGTGATTTCCTATCCACCTTTATCCACCGCCTTGACAGACCTGCCGTTGGGGGTAAACAGATCCCGTTGTCTCAGCGCACGTTACCATCGTCGAACGGAGGGCAAGCAGCCCGTGTGCTTTGTATATACACACTTGAATCAACCGCTGATAAGATTTGATCCACTTCTTCGCTCGGGTCTTGCACTCGGCTCTCTCCCGTCCGAAAGTTGTAAGTCTTATCGGGGCTTATCTGCTGTTTGCTCCGATCTTATCTCTCGCAGCCTCCCGAGTCCGGAGCAGTCGGGCCAGTGGAATCGTATATGGTTGGTACACTCGATGGTCAGAGTTTCTGTTGTCACGTCGGCACACCTGTGTTTGTGTTAAATTGTTAAATCTGTTAATTGTTTGGGGAAATACCGAAAAGAAATGTCGAAAAACGAGGATACACCGATTGCCAAGTAAGTGGGAGGAGGCTGGGATGCCGGGATGGGTTTATCGTCTGTCTGACTTCCTCCGGAAAGTTCTGCCGGGCAAAAGTTCGCCGAAAATAAAATCTCATTTGGGCGAAATTAACATAAAGCGCCAAATGAGCTGCTGATTTGTTAAATAGGCGTAAAAGCGGACCGCGTGGGAGCGGCGACAACTGTGACGGTTCCCGGGGTCTCAGGACATTCTAGGTGCGCAGAGAGGCCCCGAGAAGTTGGATATAAAAAGCGACGGCCAACGTATTTGGATGCCTTTTTTTTGCTTCTCCCTGCCGAGTTTTTTTCCTTTGTGCAATTGCGTTGGAAAGTTGCAGAGCAAGTAGTTTAGCGCCATTTACACTTTTCGTAGTAAAAATTACGCGCACTTGCACTGGCACACACCCACACACATGGGCGGAAAACTTATCAACGGGCACATCACACGCACACACACGTGCTGCTGATGAAGGCGCAGTGGGCGGAGTGGCAGTGGGCGTGGCCTTTAAGTAGTCATCGTAGTTTGCGTTAAGTAACAAAACTTCAAATTGAATTTTTCGCTGCACTTTTCATTTTAGCACCTATCAAAAAAACCCTTTCCAGCGTTTCTCTGCTTTCCGAAGCATCAGCTCATTACAGTGCGACCTGCTGCCGCTTTAGAGGTGGTGGTGGGGGAGGGTGCCGGGCGGACGGGAAAGGATTTTCGGGGAAGGAGAGGCGTGGTTTTTCAGTGGGCGTAGTACATTGTGTCTGCTTAAATGCCGCAGTGTTGTGTTGGCACCGGCAACGCTGCGTTTTTCGAGTTGAAGCTTTCCAAAAAAGTTTTCATGTTGCTTCTGCTCCTGTGGCTGCAGTTACTTCTCATTTTCCCCGTACTTCCTACTTTTGTTTACGGCGGAAAACAAGCACATTTCTATAGAAACTTGGTTGCAAAAATGTCTAACGGAATGTCACCATTTAATTATACAATTAGTCCGGGCATTTACGTGACATTACAAAGCGCAATCAACCTAAGAAACGAAGACAGGCTCTTAACTTTTGTTTGGTTTTATTGTTTTTTATTTTTATACCCTTGAAGGGTTTTAATATTTTTAGACAGTGAAGGAGTCATTTCCGACCCTATAAAGTATCTATATTCCTGATCAGCATTAACTGGCGAGTCTTTCTAGACGTGTTGGAGAGAAAATAATTTTTTTAAATTTTTTTGAAAATTTGATAAGGGGTTACATCATAAAAATTGCCAAAAATGTTGATTTTTTGTGATTTTAAATTAAGTATGCAGATTTGTTAGCCTACAAAAAACCAACATAGAAAAGCTTTCTGAATTGAATTTAACGCATTTTTGGCTTAGTTATGATCGATTTTTCCCTCCGAATATAGAAGCCCTAAAATATGGAGGTGCAATTCGCTTTAAACCTATCCTTAAATAACATTAATTAGTGATAATATTTAAAAATATTTTAAATAGGGAAAATATACTTTAGATTACCAAATATTAATTGGTTTTAAAACTGAGAAACTGCACTTAATTAAAGAACACAACATTATAAAAACGAATGATAAAAGGATGGTTTAATTATTTAGTTTACTAAACCCATTATCCATGGAGTAATTTATTTGTAGGCTGTAGATTGTCGTATTTATTGTGCTTACTCTCTGTAAATGTCCCCTGCTAAGTAATCTTGTTTTCTTGCAGACGCAACTCGGATCGGTCGCGGCGCAGTAACTATGGCACGGCTCCCTCTTTTCACCTGCTGGAGCAGGGCCAGGCAGGTGCCATTGGAGGCGCTGGCAATGGCAACAACAATCACCCGGCAACGCCCTCAACACCTGCACAAATTTTTTGTTTACACGGGCGGTCCAACAACGTGGAAGGTAAGGCGACAAGGGGTTAACGTGGCGGCGCGGGTGCTGCGACAAACGACGGGGACCTTCCGTGTCGCTTTCAATCAGGGCGGACTCCCTCCGAGCAATTTGCAGTCATTCATAAATTATCAAGAAAACGCAGCAGGCAGTGGCATTTTGCACTAAAAGTCAAATGCAAACAAATCAAAATCGACAGCGAAAAAAGCCAACAAAATTAGTTTTCACATTGTTATTTTCTTGATAATATTTTGTGTATGTGTGTGGTGTGTACTATTGTAGTTGCTTGATTGTTCTTAAGTGTTTGTTATTTTTTTGGTAAAATCGAAAATCGGAAAATTCTGTGCTATTTACCCGTGGCTGCCGGCTGTATTGGGTGAGTGAGGAGCTGTAATATCGGGTAAATGCTCGCTAATTGGCAGGCGGCACGGAAATCGTAGGAAATGAATGATGCCCGGCTGTGTCGGAAAGCGGCGACTTCGCTGGATAAATGCCGCATGGAAATGCTCCACGAATATGGTGAGAAACAACTTGCCACCCCACAGTCAGTGCCTTATTCCGGCCCAACTGGCCCCGAATTCGGTTCCGCCATCAATCAGCCGATGATTCTCGAGAACGGCCAACCAAATTATGGCGGACCTGAACCACTTGCTACCACCCATCACCCACCACCCACCAATCCCCTCTCAGCATCTGTGCTATAATCAAAATTTATGCTCTTTGCCGACACACCGCTCCTGGGAGCAGACCGCACCCTACCATAGACATACATATGTCATAAATCGCAGCGAAACGTAAGGCTTGGTCCCATAATTTACGTACGACATCGTCGATGAACCAAATAAATGTTTGGCTCATTTTTTCTTGTCCCCATAGAGTACGTCTGCGAATGTACCAATACCTAGAGATCGATGTGGCCATGTCATCAAGTTTATATTTTAATTTCCTTTGCAGCGTCTGCAAGTTGTTACATTATTTTTACCTTGATTTTTGAGGGGTATATTAGGCTAGTGAAAATGTGAAAAATTGTAACAAATTTTGTATAATAACCAAAAGAGGTTTTAGGTTTACAAATGCTATCGCACGATATTCATATTATAAAACTTAACTCTGGACCAATTTTAAACATAATTTATATGGACAAATCCATATAGTCAAAAACTAAAGCATTTTTTTTTATAGTTTTTTGTTTTCAGTACTATAAAATTATATAAAATAGTTGTAAAGGAACGATAGATGAATTAATGGAAAAAATAAACGAGAAAGGAAGTTAATTTCGAAATAAATAAGGAAATGCTATATAGAAAGTTCGTTTCTTATCAAGAATAAATTGATTCAAGGCTAGTTTATATTTAGAGATTTAATCCCCACTAAAGGGCATCTGATAGTCGCAAACCTTATATGTATATGTCCCCGTTTTTGGATGATTCGATTTATTGGCAGACGAACGGGTTCTGAAATGAAATTAACTTGTGTCTAGACAAGGTGGATCCGCCGTTGAGCGCCGAAATGCACATACCTTACATATACCTTACATTCCGGTCACATGAATATTATATAAGCGTCTTGGGGCGCCTGGTGCATTCAATCATTGTTCGAGCTACTAGCTCACATTAGATAGCTTGACTTGCCAAGTGCAGCTCGATGCAGCTGCTTTGATTTGCGCTGGCCCGTAGTTAGTCGTTCGTTAAACGCGGTCCAGATGGGACCATTTGCAAATGCCGGAATACTAAGCAGCTGCAACAGAGGTCCGTGCATTGTTCCCATGAGCAGTAGTGTGGCCCCATTGTTATCGAAGCATTCTTCGATTTCGGGTTATGGATGCGCACAAGCTTACGGAGGCGGAAGCAAGCTCAGGTAACTTGCTAATGAGCAAGGATATAGGGATAACTGGTGGGGTCTTAAGTTATAAGGGGAAGCACTAATAAGTTGAGCTATTATACAAGTTTCAAGTTTACAAATATCCTTGATTCTGATTTATTTAAACAAATGGAATTGTCGGTTAAAAAAGTTACTTTTCTTCTGATAATTGATTTGATTCGATACTTCTTACAGAATTTGATAAGTATTGTTAATAGGCTTTCAGTAATGACATAGCCACCTTTTTGTGTGCTTTATGACACAATTAGGGAAGTAAATTCATATTCCGTATTAGTTCAATTCATACCTAAAAAAAATTAACGCACGTCTACCGATTCTTGACTAGTTTTTGTTTTATTAAATTAATAAATAAGCGTAAACTGTTGTGTCATAATCTCGTGGATGTCATGACACGCACCCTTTGGAATCACCTGCTGGATCACCTTTAACTGTCCAACGTTCCAGACGAGTTCTGTGTGATATTTGCACATAATGGAACGCCTTCTATCTCAGATTCTATTCAATTCAATTAGTGCTGGTGAGCCAGCACTTGGTTCGTCGCCATCCCATTCCCCTCCGGCATCGATCCCCGTTCTGCATTAATTATTTATGAGTACAAGTACTCCATACAATTGTTGCCATGGCAGAAGAAGCGATAAATGCGAAGGAGATGGAGAAACGGGCACCGGGCACGTTGTGAATGCCAAGGCAGCATGTGTCCCCACAGCACGGGGACCTCAACATACTTTCCGCAGTGCGCAAACAAACAAGGCGAACGGAACGGTCCAAGGCGACCAATTAAAGATGCAGATGGATCGGAGTTGTTTAAATTGCAAGTACGACGATTCTTATGCATCAGCGTGCCGTTGCTTCGAGCGGAGCCGGATGCGGGTCTAATAGGTGAAATTTCCACATGCTGCCGTTGCTGTCGCCATTGCAGCGGCTCCTCCGCCAGTACCGGGCGGGCCTTGGTTATGCACAGGAATTTAATTTCGCTGCCGGCCTTGTTACTGCCATTGTATGAGTGTGTGGCGAGCATGTGGAGGCGAGGGCTACGGAGGATGTGCAGGAAGCGGAGGTGGCAGGAGAAGGAGCAGGAGCAGGAGCAAGAGCAGGAAGCGGTCGCCGGCAGACGGAGGCCACGCGTCGGTGGCCTTGTGCTGGATTCAAATGAAGAAACTGCGTTCACAAAGCCACCACATCAGCGATGAGCGGCTTCTTATTTCGACTGACACGTAGGAAAAATAATTACTTGAGTTATATATATTTCAAAATGTTGTCATTGATAAGAAGACATATTGTTTCTTTAGTATTCATTCACAAGATCTTAAGACTGAAATCCACAAAAGGATGCAGCAAGACAAAGGTATTTTTGCACAACAAATATATAGACAAAGATATCTGAAAACACATTTTGAACTTGGGGTATTATTACCCTTAATGAGTTAAACCTGAACTTGATCAACACTCTTAAAATTCATAAAGGAATAAGAAAAGCACGGTCTCACCTCTATGCATCCCGTTTCCAGAGAAGCCAGCCATCCAGCGAAGCATATGCACATGTAGGAATCCACCTTCCCCAAACATTCTCGCAGCCTTTCCCGCTGCGCACAATGAGGTCCTGAGAGAGAAAAGCTGAGGAAAACCAAGGAGTAGGAGGATGTGGGAGAAGGAGCGACCAGAGCAAGTGCAAAGAAAATGCAGCGGAAATGACAAAGCATGAAATACGGCTGCGACAAATGCAATAAAGTATTTAATAGACTGCTCCTAGCCGACCAACCAACCAGCGAACCAAACCGAGCCAAGCAACTACCAACTTTCGCCTGTCACTGACACCCAAAAAGAATAAAACCAAAAAGGAAAAAAATACCATAAAAACAAGCGCAGAAGCTCTCGGAAATGGGCCATATAGCGTATCCATATGGGAGGGGCGTGGCAGCCGGGCACCAGGAGCTGGAGCAGCAGCATTGGCGGTCATTATTCACGTACCATGTTAAATAAATTTAAATGCCTGTTTTGTAAATATGTATTGCATGCTCGGCGGCATAACGGATGGGCGAAGGGAAAACGAATTCCCCAACAGGGACTCAATGCGCTTCACAATGGCCCATTGTTAATTTAACACTTAAAAAACAGTTTTATATCCTTAAGGAAACTATGGGTTACTTTTAAAAGCAATGTTAAATGTAAATATTTGCAGAATAAATACATTTTAAATAAGAGAAAGCCCATTTAACAATGAGTTCTAGTAGGAGCAAAAATTGAAAATAAGTATTGTTTGCATTAGTTAAATATTAATAGAAAGTTGCCTTGATTAAAGTTTATAGATTTTTGAGGATAGAATCAATTGAAAGCGAACTGTTATCAAATAAAACTGTTTTTAGTTTAAAAATTCATTAAATAAAATATTAAAATGTTTCTTTAAATAATGCTATAGGCAACGGAAAGTACAAACTCCTTCTCATTAGTTGTTCATATATATGAATGGCAAAATAAATAAATAATCAAATCAGTAGTCAAAATTTTATTAAAAATAACAGTTAGATTTTTAAATTTTCATATATGGCTAATTTTGGCTAATTTTAAATATGTATGCTAAGGGTTTCATATATCTACAGTGGCTACAAAGATAGATTGAGTTGCTAGTGACAACCTTTAGTCTCATAAACTAACTAATATATTAGTGTTTTGCCCATAATACTATATCTAATATACTTTATATCTTATTCAATATATTTTTTATGCTGTACTAATATATCTTTCTCATCCTTTTCAGTCCGAGATCATTGCCATCGGGCCCGCAGCGAGGGAGTGGACGTTAAGGCGCGACGCAAACTGATCATAGCCAGTATCCTGTGCTTGGTCTTTATGATTGCCGAGATTGTGGGTGAGTTGGGAGTTTATACTCATAGAAAGAATATTCCCTTCTTTATGGTCGCCCCTTTCTACTATACAACCCTACAAAGAATCCTTTTTCTTTATATTCATGCCTGTTGTTGGCCTTTTTTGCGCTGCTTTTCAATTCCCAAACTAATTTTGCTCACCTCCAAGAATCCTGAGCCAACAAATAAACAAAAAATAAAGAGGAAAAAGCGAAAAGAGTCAAACAATGCGGAAAGCAAAAAAGAAAAGAGCATAAAAGGCAAAAAAAAAGGGACTTGAAGGAGACGTCGACGAGACGATTAAAAACTGAGAACCGGAAGTGCAACAATATGGCGACCGGAAGGGCTTACTGTCTGCTGTCAACCGTCCTCCGTTTATGACGGCCCAGAGGCGCATGAGGGGGGATGTGCTGGCGGTGGTTATACAATAAACATTTAATTTTCGAGGGACGGCCATGTCGTTGGGGCTTCGACGGCTGCCGTCGTTAATCGTTTCGCAATTACCTACAATGTTCCATTCCGGACACGGCGCGAGGGTGGGCCAGGAAAGAGGATTTCTTTTTTGCGCACCTCGCTTTGCACTTTTCTTTCGCTTTCAAATCGAAATTGTTTTTCCGATTGTGCAAAATAGACAGAGTGCCTGGGACCAGCCGAGAGCTCCTCCCTTTTACTGTTTTCCGACGAGAGCCAGCGGCTTGTAACCGTGCGATTACTCCTCTCCCTCAACCCCTTCGGTCCTTCGGTCCCAAAATCAACGTCCGCAATTCCCACAGATTGTCGAGTTAATTTTTTGCGCATTTATTTATTCCCATCCGACCTGGAACAGGTGGCGTCCTATCCAACAGCCTGGCCATCGCAACAGACGCCGCACATTTGCTCACCGATTTTGCCAGTTTTATGATCTCGTTGTTTGCCATCTGGATTGCCGGACGCCCGTCTACGCAGCGGTAAGTACTCCCAACGTGGCGTCGCCAAATAAAGACACTACCAAAGGTCGTTCCGAGGGGAAGGGAAATCAATAAAACGTAAACTTTCAATCTTTTCTGCATTTTTTCGTCGCTGGCTGCTGCTTTGTGTGCGCCTTGACCCAGCCCCGAGCCCGGTGACTTCAAACGCTGCTCGGGAAAATCCATAGAAATGACTTTTATACCTTTTACTTGCAAGGTATATTGTATTCGTGCAGGTGATATTAAGAAATAGAAGAACTTAATTCGCTTTGAATCGGTGATTAGCGGTTAAATCAATAATATATATAAAAGTTCTTTTAAAAATAGCTCTTTTTAAAGATTATACAAGCCTTGTAAATGTAGTTTGTAGTTTAACTTAAAGGTTGACTTATAATAATGGGTTCATAGTAAAGAGCTCTTTAACTCAGGTCCAGATATCAGGTTTTTAAAGAGGACAATAACTATAATAATATACATTTTCCAGAAAACAGATTACTTAATTTACATATTTAATATAATACCTAAAATATCCCACCACTTAAACAATGTTTTGTATTTGTAATATATTTATTGGAATTTCTGGTGACTACTCTATTTTGTACTATTAAAATATTCCAGCAAAATAATGTATCTGCATTGCCCTGCAATTCATATTCCACTTCTATGCGCTTACGCTGCCACCATAATTCCTGTCGATCGGCTGGGCCATTATCTTTCTGTCTGTGTCTCTGTATTTCCCCATTCGCCATCGTCTAATTAGGCGAAAAGCCTGTTTCAAAATTTCCCATGCCTTCCTGTGGCATCTCTGGCCGATTTTGTTGCTATTCCTAGTAGGGCTGCCAATTTGTTCTTTTCCAGACAGATGTGCTCTCTCTTAAGCGATTTTCATGTTATAGTAGTATTACATTTTATGTGAATGTTTACTTTTGTTTTTAATATTTCAAAGAAAAACTACATTAAGAAACGATGTATAGTTGCCTTCATTAGTTTCAAGCCAAGTGATCTACACCTTCTTATTTCAATAAAATAGTTATTATGTTTAAATTCATATTAATTTTCCCATTTCCTTATCAACATTATCTTGTATTGTCAATGCTTTTCATGACTGCATTCGTGAGATTAGAAAATAATTCAGTTTTCTGTCTTATTTTCGAAATGAGCTCCTGCCAGCACTGGCGGCTGCTGTTGCTGCTGCGCACTGTAGTTTCGCCCGCTGCACATTTTTCAATTGGTCCTTGGGACCGTTCCCTCCTGGCCGCTACTCCACTGCATCCGTCTTGTGCCAGACTAGAGGGAGGCAAGCGGCACGTTCGGCTCATTCATGCAAAAATCTCACTCACTCGACGACTCGACTGCAGCCACAAAGTGAATAATGAAAAACTTTTGCAATTTCAAGCGTGTTGCATGGTAATTTTGTAAATTTCGCTGCTGCCACCAGACTCAGGCTTGGGCTCCTACGCCCCTTGTGCGTTGATGTTGCTTCTGTTCCTGGCTCTGTTTCTGTTCCAGTTGCTCTTGTTCCCTCTGGTTTCTGATGCTGCATGCTGCATGTTGCTGCTGCTGCTGCTGCATGTTGCAGCCACAGCCTCAGCCTCAGTCTTAGTCTGGCTGAATGCTTTTCGTTTTGGGCAGGGTTTGGGTTCCAGTGTGCGGCTCGCAGCCTTCTACCTTCTCTTGGGTCCCCGGCCGCACCACCCATTTTGGGCGCTGGAGCGCCAGAGCTGGCGTTGCCGAGTTGACAAGCCTAATTTATCAAAACAAAACACATTTGCACAATTGCAAAGGAGAACGCAGAAAACGAAATGGCAAAACGAACGAAAACTAAGCATGGTACAGTGGAATGACTTGGTTAGATCCTGCGGTGTAATTAGAGTGACATTTGTGCAGGAATTGTTTAAGTAATATATATATATTTAAAAAATAATAACTGAAACATAAGTGAAATTAGCTATAGTTTTTGGCTTATAGTCATGCTTGAGTTATTTAAGACTCAAGCATGACTATAAGCCAAAAACTATAGCTAATTTCACTTATGTGATGATGAAATTCTTGTGTAAAGTTATTTTCCTTATTTTATCGTTGATTTTGCAGCCATACATACATACCTATTAGTTCTAAAGTAGATCGAGCTATAACAAGAGAGTTCAGTTTCTAATGGCAATTGTCCATGGGTATAAAATATTAAAAAAACTTCACAAAAATGTCAGAAACTTAGGTTTTTTTTCTTGAGCTTTAAGTGTTGCCTTTAAAGATGATATACACCAAAATAAATGTCTAAATTTAATTACTCTGATGATTTTCAACAAAATTTAAATATGCTTCATCACAAGTTTACCCAAATTCTTAATTTTATATTACAGTTTTACTAAAATTCCTAACTTTCTTCTCTTTATTTTAAACGGGTGCCCAATGATCCATTTTGCTGGCTGCCAAAAAGTTTCGCTGGCACTACACACAGCCATATTTCATTATCGCTAATCCCAATTAAGTGTATTTGGGTACTTTCTTTTAATTATCGCACCAGTGTACCCCTCGTTTCCGCCATTGAGGTAGCGATGTTTCTCTGCTCCGCCATCGGGGCTGCAAGCGGGGCGAAGGACGAAGGACGACAGCAGCAGGCGGTCATTAAGCAAATGGCTGCACTTGCAACGCCAACTGCAAGGGCCCGGCTTACATATATATTTGTATACACACACAGAGAGAAAGGCCCGCAATACATTGACACTGCGGACGAGGGACGGCAAGGTGGGGGGACAGGACGGATGTTTGCTGGAAATTAAATTGTATTATTATGGCGAGACATTCGTTGCTGTAGCTGCCTGCTGCCTTCTGGCATCACATTAGTTAGCAGGCTGGCAAAATTGTTGCCTTTTGCCATTATTTCAATTTTATAACGAGAGTGGTTGGCCCCACCACCACCACTACCACTACCGCCTCTTCCGCCACCCGTCGGTCGGTTGGTTACCTGGTCTGGCCAGGCTCTGGCTCGCTCTGATGTGGCTCTGTGGCTGGTTTGCTTTCTGGTCTGGGTTGGGCTTTAATTGAACGACCCTCGACCTGGTCGCCGGCGTCGTTCAGGTGTTGACTTTGACCTAACCAAAAAATAATATACGAAAAGAAGTAATGGGACGCACATGCAAAACGCTCATTACATTAGGGAAATACTGGAGCAGTCCCAATTCCCTGCCGAGCATTATCATCTGGGCGGAGCACCGCGCCCCCAAAAGAACAAGCCCGTGGGACTTGAATTAAAATAGCATTTGACAAATTTCGGCAGCATTTATCATAACATATTAACTTTTAAATAGGCCACTGTTCATAATTTTTTTGACCAGATGGTTTGTAGCTAAGGATACTCCGGTTAGCATAAAACTTAGCTCAAGTTATCTTAAGATTTTAAGAAATTCTTGTAAGTTGCCAGAAGAGCAGGAAATATTTCAGGTAATTTATAAGGAAATAAGTTCGATTTCAGTCTTGGGCAGATCCGTTTCCCCCGTTTATTTTCGAATTTATATCTAAAAACACACTCCCTTTTTGTCTTCAACAGGATGTCCTTTGGATGGTATCGGGCTGAGGTCATTGGCGCCATGGCCTCTGTATTCATGATCTGGGTTATAACAGGAATCCTGGTGTGGTTGGCAATCGGACGCCTCATCAACGGAGACTATGAGGTGAACGCCAAGATCATGCTGATCACTTCGGGGCTAGCCATATTGGTCAATGTCATGTAAGTATTCCTATCAATATGCAGATCTTTGATTGCAGCTGTCTGGCATATCTACTGCTCTGTCTGATTCCCGCGTGCCTGCAAAAGTTTTCTTGTTTTCCCCTGGGCAGTTTTCCAATTGCAATTGCCGCAATCAACTTGTCCATGGCATGGGGCAGCAAATGGGTCAACTTTGTGCTGCCAATGTCTCCCTATCCCATGTCCATGCCCTTGCCCATTCCCATTCCCATTCCCGTTCTTGGTTGGCATTCCCTTACGTATCCGCCAGTTGTTGCGGCAACTTTCTCCACATTTTAGCGACAACTTTTTCCACAAGTTTAGAATTTCTTTTCGTTTCGTTTCATTTTTTTTTTATTTTTCTGTCAGCGTTAACAAAGGCCAAAAGCGATGGCAACGAGGAGTTGCTTGTGTTTGTGTTGGCTATCCGCAAAGGTGGAGAATTCTCTAGGCGGTACGGGGTAACTCGCCATTGTGGAGGGTTTTAAAATTGCTCGAATTGGTGGCCATAGGGCTGCCCCTAACCGTTGGATTTCATTTCACTTTGCGCGGCTAAAAATAAATCGAGGCTGGCGAATTTAATGCCTTATTAAATTCAATTTTGCTTGTAAAGTTGGCAGAGAACTCAATTTTTCCTTTTGTTTTAAAGCTTTTGCCAGAAATTTGAACTGTTGCTTAATGGGTTTAAGAGTAGATGGGTTTTGTTCTACAAATTAATGATAAAACCCTTACGTAGATAAATCTAAAACATAAAAAAAAAGTTAGGCAGAGCATTCCCTGTTCGCCTTCTAATTTCCTAATCGCTACTCTTGTTTTGATTTCGTTGAGTGCAGCACCTGCAAACATCTGCCCCCTCCTCTCGTCATGCTGAACACCGCTCACCGTCCGCCAGTCTCTGCTCCTGCTCCGTGTCCCCATTGATGCTCATTCATGTGGCTGTCGAAGCATAGTTTTTGGCGCATAAATCGCAACGTTCAATGCCGAGCTCACACACAAGTTTCCCAACGTTACCTAGCCCCCTTGTTCACCTCTTTTCTAGCGCTAGCGCCTGGCTCTTGTTGTTGGCAGTTGAGCGGGTAGAGCAAGAATTTTCCAGTTGACGTTGGCATTTTCAGTGTTTGCCACTTGAATTGTTTGATTACGTGAATTGATTGTGAAAAACGTGCAGCAGAAGCAACTCTCCTGGCTTAGACCTGTGGCCAAGCCAAGGAGGAGATGGCCAGGCCAGTCGGGGGGCAGGTGGGCGGAAAGGGACCGCGACTAGGGCCATCTTCGGAAGCTGCCATAAAAGTGGGAAGTTAAGTCGAGTCAATGCTCCCGCTTGCTCCTCCTTGGACCTGTAAGTCTGCCATACACTTTGAATAATATTTTAAATCGTATCTGATTTATCATATTTGACGTTTTGGATAGTTAATATATCGTTCTTTCCGGCCTCCTATCACATTAAAATTAAATATAATATTTTATTAGAATTTAATCAATCGCTTGACCAGAAACCTGGTATTTATTTCGGTGTAACGCTTACCTGTAATCGAACAATAGAATGAAATGGCCATCTTTCGCCGCTATGCGTTTGGGCAAACGACTTTGCAGCCAAGTTGAACTATTTTGCCATTGAAGGCTTTTTACTTAGTTTCATTTAGTTGTTGAGCGCTCTCTGGATTTTATTTTATTTTATTTTTTTTTGCCAGTTTTTAGTTCAATTAGCACAATGCCGAAAATAGCACAGAAACACACTCAAACACATGCGCACGCACAGAAGTTTCCGGCTCGCTTTTTGTGCGGCTGTAGTTGTTGCTGGGTTAACTTTTGAGTGGCGGCAACGACGTCCGCCGACTTCACATCGTTAAAGCGCCCATTAGAGCAGTGCCAAAGCAGCGGCGAAGCAAACGGAGCAAGATCAGGGGAAATGGCAGGGGCCAAGGGGATAACCAAAGTACTGTGAAACCTCAACCGAATGACCACTACCCTGACCTCTGAGGTGATCTTGGAGATCTGTATAGGTCAGGTTAAGCCTTTTTGCTTGAAGTTTATAATAACTCACCCACACAAAAGATATATATTTTTAACTGATAAGATTGCTTTTTTTTAAATATATTTTAAATTCTAGACTAAGATTGACCTTTCAAAGACAATACAAAGAATTATCCAATTATAACATATCTTAATTGTCAAAAATCAATAAAAGCCAAGCGATTATTCCTGAAGCGGGGTGTTTACTGTACAAGAAACATACACTCGAACTCTCGAAAAGCCTGACCTTAAACTGCAAATGGGACATTAGCGCGAGTAAATGCCAGTGAAATATGAGAGGTTTATTCTGGCGGGAAAGCAGAGAGTTTGGTGCCGAGAGGTGCTAAAGCAATTACAACCAGAATGTGGAGATGGAGGAGCTTAGCAAAGGGAATGAAAATGGCAGAAAACGACAGATGGATGAATGCACAGCGGATTTTTTCTTTAAATTTGGCTCAGAGAAAGGTATAACTCAGTGAAGTAAACTGAAATCAAAAAATTTAAGGAATGTTGGGGTATTGAAGAAAACGAGGGTAAAATATTAAAAAAAAATATCAGTTAAAAGAATTTAATTACCTACAGTTAAATGACGAATAATATAAACATTGATCGATGTTCGCTGATTGTTTCTATTTTTTTAAAGGTTGACCAAAACCCTCGACCTAAAAAGTCTTATATGTGTATTGTTTCCTTTACAATGTACATATATTTATGTACTTGCTTTTGTTTACTGCTTACTGGTCGTCTCGCCTCAGTGTTCTACTATCCGCCATCCCCTTGAGGCCAAAACTGGCCAAAAGCTTGTTAGGCAAGCAACTCAATTTCATTTTCAATTTCTTCAGACCCCACTGTGATGGCCTAGCCAGTTCAGTCCGGAGAGAAGAAGCTACCAGGCCAAATGTGGCCATAATTTGTCAAACAGCAAAAAACAGGAGACGTCAGAAAATAAACACAAGAAGCGAATAAATATGAACGGGAATGAATGGAGGGAGGGACGTGGTGCCTGTGCCTGCTGTAGCACAACGCGTTGATGGCCACTAAATAAATTGTAGGGAATAGCAGAGATCTTGCTACTGTTGTGGGAGGTAGTGATGAACAATCAGCTTCTGTTTTTACTTGGTCACTGGTTTTATACTGGGTGTTTCGAAATTCCTTTAGAAATGGTATGTCGATTTCTATGAATTCAAAATAAATAAAACATTCATTATATTATAAAGATAACTAAAGATTGTCTAAGCCTTGTTGTATCCCTCAAGAGCGTAAAATGTTTGCCAAAATGTTGGCAACATTACTAGGTAGTCACTACCGCCTTTATCATGACCAAACCAGTGTGGTGGTCAGTGCTGGTGGTGGTCCACGTTGGTTCCAGGGATTCCATGCAGGGCACATACGCTTTTTGACTTTGAGCATCCGATTGCGGAGGCATTACCCCTGGCCACTGCCACTTACCCCATACCCATCCTCACTTTGCTCGCCTGCCATGGGCTTGTGTGTCCTCGAGCGCAAAAAATGCCAATGTGAGCGACATTCCACCACCACCAGCAGCGATTCTCCGCTGGGTTCCCCGCTAACCCGGCATTGTTGTTCCAACTGCGTCGCTGTAATTTGTAGCGCGCAATGAAGCATTTCCCCTTGATTTTGCGGCATCTTTACTCGCCTCGTTAGTGGCCAACAAACGACAGCAGCCATGACAACACCAGCACTCCGGGCCCAGGACGCAGGACGCAGGACGTAGGACGTAGGACGCAGGACCCATGACCCGGGACCTAGGAGGTGGGACCCAGCAGCGATCCAAGGAACTGGCGGCGAGTTGGGAGCTGAGCTCCTCCTGGCAGCGTATATGCCATGTCCTGATTTAATTGACAGGAACATAAATATTAGCGCATATCTTGACTCAGCTCGCCTTGGCGTGGCTTTGGCTTTGGCGTTGGTCGCGTATGTGACTGTTGCCAGGATTTGCAGCCACTAAGGACGTCCCGGGTCATGCCTGGAGCTCTTGGTCCTGGCCTCGCTCGGTTCCGTCCTGTCGCCCGGTTGAGCAGCTCGTTAAGCTGTCGGGCATGGAGCAGGACCATCGCCAAGTCCTGGGATAAGGACAAGGAGCCACGTTTATTGCGCTCATCTTAACGCGCGTTTTACAACCGACTGTTGGTATTTATTTGACTGGTGGTGTGTCTAAATCATTCACTAACAGGCTAAAGGATGAAAGTCCACCAAAATGTTGTTCAGCTACTTGAAATGATTTAACTTTGGGTATTTGTTACACATTTTATAGTTTAATTATCTCTTGATCTATTCTTGGTTAAAACTAAGATTTATTACTCTTAGTAATAAAAAATTAGTTATCTTTCCTTATATTTTGACCAATTTTTCGATGTTTCATGGCTAAGACCCAAGACCATACGCCAAAATGGCTTTGGTTCAACAGCTGACACTACGTCAATTAGCGTCAAATCGGCTTGGTTGCAGGATCCTTTCGTTTGGGGACTCGGTCCGGTCCCAAGCGGATGGTTAACTGGAACGTTCCGCGACTGCTCACTTGGCCCTTTGTGTTTGGCCCTGCCAATGGTCGCGCGTAATTTATGCGACTTTATTTATTGATGCCCGGCAGTGCATTGTTTCCCCAAAAATCCGCCTAAGTGCAGCCGGCGGCGACGGAAGAGAGCAATCGTTTTTGGAGCCTCCGTGCGTTGGCATGTCGGTCGACCGGGCCGGTCGACCATGGCCCTTTTTCCCCAAAATAGAAAACCCATAAATCTGCAATGTCGGAGCATTTAAAATGAATAAAAAGTCAATGTGCCGAGCTATTAACTGCCTGATGCATGCCGTGGGCCAAGAGGCGGTCTGTCGGGGGCGGCCTGGTCAACTGGTTGCCATTTTCGACAATACATTTGTATTTGCATGCGGCAATGGGTCCGGACGTACTGAACTGGAGCAGCCCAGATGGGCATAGGGTCGGAATCGGACAGGAGCGGTTAGTTTGGATGGTCGGTCTGCTCGCAGGATCCTTGGCACACACCTTCCGGTGCACAGAGCAGCAAAACGGTGGCAATGGGACCGACAGGACGAGGAGTTGGTGGTCTGGTAGAATTGTGGTGGAGAGTTCACACTGGGCAATGTCTAAAATTATTTATTTTTGGAAAAACCAAATACTATATATATGGTATATGCTATTGATTTATGGTAATGACTGCTTAACCTATAGAGTCTAGTTAAACAGTTGTATTTATTTTTAGGCAATCAGCTTATGTTACCAAGTTCAGAGGGTTTGTGAGTAATGTTTTTAAAGGAATTGCTGTGAAATTCTTTATACATTTTTGAGCTTTAAAATTTAAGAAATAAAATAAAATTGTTTATATTAAATGTACACAACCTATCTCTTTAAAGTTCCTGTTTATGTCTTTTGATTTAGGAGGGAAATCACCAACAGTATTAATCTAAATCCTCTGATATTACTACATTTTTTTATTATTTACTTCAGTATCCTTGTTTTTAAAGACTACAAAGTATCTTATAAAAGTATTCAGGGTTAATCATTGCTGGCTTTATTTGCTAGCATTACCTTAAAATCCAACCTTACCTTCTAGGGTTTAAATTTCAGCACTTTATTTGGTTTATTTTTTCACATCTCGGACCCACTGCTGCTCGTGACCTGAGTGTGTTTGTTTGACTGTGCGGTGCGACTGTTGTTGGGCATTAAAATGCTGAAATAAAATGCCAAACAATGCAAAAGCGTTGCCCGCATTCCGCTGCAGCCCCTCTGCCGGCAAATAAAGCAGCCAAAAAGCATTTGGGGTGCGTTTTTGTTTTCATACTGTGGCCGGGCTAACGTGGCCCAGACAAGGACGGATTTTTGGGAGTTGGCCGGCACAACATAGCTTGCAACATTTTCAAGCATATTAAATATTTGTGATAACGTTTTCAATTTCTCTTTCCCAACAGAATGGGCGTCCAGCTGCAGCACGGCCACTCGCATGGACTGGGCGGTGGGCACGGCCACAGCCACGGTGGTTCGGCCAAGAGCAAGGAGAAGAAGGTAAAGAAGCTCGGCCTGCAGTCCCATGCCCATGCCACATCCACGCCCTGCTCCGACTCGCCCACCCAGCGCATCGAGGATGGCGTGGCCTTCGCCCCTGAGGACGCCGAGTTGCCCGGCAGCGGACTACCAACGTACTCCTACCAGAATGCCAAGCTGGTGGATCCGTCACTGGATTTGGAAATTGCGGCCGTGCTGGCCGAGACCGCACCGGGCTCCCATCACCATGGAGGGTCAGCGGGTCGCGAGGCCGTCAACATGAACGTCCGCGCAGCCCTCATCCATGTGATTGGCGATGTCATCCAGAGTGTGGGGGTCTTTGTCGCCGCCGGTGTGATCTACTTTTGGCCGGAGTATGCCATTGTTGATCCCATTTGCACGTTTGTGTTCTCCATCATTGTCCTGTTCACTACTTTTACGATCATGAAGGATGCCCTTCTGGTAAGTAAAGAGAACTGAAACATTTATTTACTTAATTGTAATTAACTTAAAATCAATAAGCTTGGGTTTCTCTGAAGATAAAGGCAAAATAGGTATAATTTACGAAGTGATTTCAATTGAATTAAGGCAACATTTATCTCTCTCTAATCCTTGGTGCGTTAAGCTAATAATATAGCTTATTTTCAGCACTAAGCAAACATTTTTTAACGTATTTAGTGAACAACATTCCAGGCAGATAGTATCTAATTAAGCCTTGTGCATATCAATAATTATTTAAAATTGATTTTCATATAATTTAGGCCTGACCAAACGCAAAAACCGCGCATAATTTTAGCAAATCAGTTTAATTACATCTGCCTGTCCGTTCTCCCGCAGGTCCTGATGGAGGGAACTCCCAACTACATGCACTACACCGAAGTCCTTCAGATATTCCAAGGCATCGAGGGCGTCGAGCGGGTGCACAACCTGCGGATCTGGGCGCTGAGCATTAATAAAGTGGCGCTATCTGCGCATTTGGCCATTGGTAAGTAGCGCCCCCGGCAACTCCAACCGACCAGGCTAAGCCAAATCAGACCAGAAAGGTTGTTGGGTGGCCTATGCACTCAAAAAATAAATCGTCCTGAAACTAGAAAATGTATTTAAAATCTGAAAGCCATTTTAAAATATGAAATTTATATAAACAAAATGTTGAACTTGAGGAAAAGATATATGTACATTTGTTATAAAATAATTCTTGAAATTAGGAAATGTTGTACCTTCTATTAAAATTAACTTTCCTAATTGTATACAAAATAGTTTTTTGCGCTGTTCTTTCGGGATTTGCATTGCATGAATTTAGGAAAAATTCAGAATGTTTCATGTTAATGTGCTAAAATTTCTAAATTTCCCTGCAACTATTGTTCCGAGTGTGCCCTGATGCATGTGTTTTCCAGGGCTTTGTGAGTGTGCGAGTGTGTTGGGGCGCGCTTTTGGGCATGGATGGTAATTATCCCAATGGATTTGTTGTTGTTTTCAGCTGTTTTCCCACTGCGCTGCTGCTGGCCCTGCTCTGTGGCCATGTCCATGGGCAGACAGTGAGCAATTAGCTTAATTATTTTTGAAATGGCTTTTTAAGCGTGGACAATTTTGATAGAGCGAGCCAGAGAGAAGGAGCAGTCGAGTTGGCTTGGTCCCCATTAATGTTATCCTTCTGATACCGCTTAATCGTTTCCTTCTCCCTCTACTCCTACACAGCTGCCAATGCCAATCCGAAGCAGATCCTGGACGCAGCCACCTCGGCGGTTCACTTGCGCTACAACTTCTTTGAGACGACCATCCAGATCGAGGACTATACAACCCAGATGGAGAGCTGCCAGCAGTGCAATGTGCCCGAAAAGTGAGATCTTGGCTCTCCAATATAGAATATAACATAATATATTCACTGTTTTGAACTGTCAGCTAAGAGAGAGAGAGACCGCGTAATGAGTAAACAAATTCATGATGCTGGCTAGACCAGATAAACAAATCAACTACAAAATATATTATTAATATTAGAGTTTATGTTTCTTCTCAGTGTCTATCAGCGAACCACAAATCCCGGGCCTGGTTAAATAAATAGCCCGTAATAGGCACCCATCACAGCTAACGTTGGTTTACATATGGAATCATCATACTTTGCACTTTATCATAGCTTGCTGGCTGCGTGTGGCGGATGATAAATAACGCCCAAAATGTAATCTGAATAATGCGGAATACGCGACGATTTTTATACTCAGCCCGGGAGCTGTAAGAACTAGCAGGGACACATCGACTGTGCGGTATGCACTGGGCTTGTGATCAAAGCGATTGGTTTTGCCGCTGGCTATAATTTTTAATCGGATTTCCAGCTCGCAATCTCTTTGGCTGAACCACTCATCCACTTTTTAAACCATTTTTTCCAGAGTTTTTCATACGAATTTTCCATCAAATTCGCTGCAGGAGTGACATGCAAACACGCGTAAAAGTTATTAGGCTCCCGATGGCTGCCATCGGCGACACTGCACACAAAAATGCCCATCGCGCCCAGAACTAATGCCAATTTATGGGGGACGCGACGTGGCTTACCTAGCACCCACTCCGCGCGCCCCGCTCCTTTCTACCCACTGCCCCATTATGCATAATTTGGATGTGGGGCCATTGCGTAAGCGACGCTTATGTCGAGGTCGACGCATTGCGTGTGGAACGTAGCGGCGCTTTCAAATTATGTCTAAATTGTTGACCGACAAACTGGCCGTCTGGCTTTTGACATGCTCCCCCACTAGCCCAGCTGTCCACCTCCGGCCCACCTGCCCACCTGCCGCCGCGGGAGTGCCACTGTCCCACTGTCTGGGAGAGAACAGTTGGCGCCTAATCGCCGCCAATTTGTTGACAGATTTGCATGCTTCCAGCGAGCAAAGACGCCGCCGTCAACTTGGACAAATTCCGTAACTTTCAGCGAAGCGACAACCGAATACGCGGCTCAGCACCTGGTGGTTTGGGCCCAAAAGTGCAGTAATATTTGTTCTTGTTCCAAGGTTCTGCCGCGCCACCCCTTGCTCTCTGCGCCTGCGCAGCTCCGAGTGTGCTAAACTGCTAAACAGAAAAGAGCAGCCCCGAGCGAGCTGAGAGGTTTGTTTAGGCCATGTGCTTACGTTGCGGCTTTTGCCGTTGCTTTGACGGCCACTTGACCTGCAGTTAAAACCAAATGCAGTTCGCACATGAAACCAAAAAGGAGGCGCGCCCTAAGAGAACCAAGTGCATTGCCCACACTGGTAGTTAATAAAGACAGTTTCTTGTCTACTCTGCCAGTACTAGGGCAGGGGTGGGAATCGTTATATGATATTTATTAGAAGTTAATTTGCATTTGGGAATCAAAAATCTCTGTAACACTGGTGCCCAAAACCCCTAGAGAGTCTGCTGGCATATTTACAGTGTGCAATGAATGTAAACAATGCATCATTTAGTCATCTGTTTAATTACCCATTTTTGTGAGCTATTTTATAATCAATATTGCTTAGAATGTATGCTAAATTCATTCTCATATTTAGCCACGTTGTTCCAATTTTCAAAGCCAATTCTTAAATGCTGTAAGGACTGCTTTATACTATGTTATAACTCTTTAAATTATCTATCATTGCAAAGGATTTGCTGATCTTAAGAAAACGGATCCTAAAAATTAAATTAAAAATTTCATTGATATATTGTTCAAAATTCAAATACCTTAGCTTTGGTTAAGATTAAAATTCTGTTTTTATTTTATGCAGAATTTTGTAATTTCGACTATTTTATCCAGGAATGTAATACAATTTCGACAAAAAAATAAAATCTCTTGTGTTGTCTTTTCAAAGTCACTGGCTGCTAAAATAATTGGATAAGCTTTTGATTAAAATATATACAATTTCTTTGACAAACTTTAAGCTTTGGGTAATTGTTTGCTCCCTCGCTTTAAGCCACCCAACTCGCTGTCACGATTTCACTCCGACATTTCGCTGCAATGCACAACAAATTTCAGCTAGAAAATTTTGCGTGCAATGCGCTGGCGGAGATGGGGAGATGGGCGGGGAAAGCTAAGACGATGACGTCCAACGTCGTTGCTCATTAAAAACTTTTAGCCAGTTCGAACTTTTCAAGCCGGGAGATAAACAACAAGAAAAGCAAGGCGGAGAGTGTAAATTATAAATGCACAAAGTATACGAAAAGGGCGCGAGATATTTTGGAAACATGAAACTGGAGCAGGGATAGCGAAAACTTATTGAGGCAATAGGACTTGCTGATTTATTTGAAAAATATAAATTTTATTTAAGCGCTCGCGCTCCGAGCAAATAAACTCCAGTTACCATTAAGCGAATTTAAGCCGCCGGGCAAGTATTACTCAGTTGGATGCCCCGGTGGAAAACAAGTGCATTGCATATTTTAATCAAGCGAAAATTGTATTGGAAAATATTGTTAACAATAACGGGCAGCGGCGGCATTTTTAAATGACCCAGCCATACAGGCCAACATGTGACAGCCGTGGCGGCGACAATTAAAACTTTTTACTAGCATTCAAATTTTTCAATATAAGCCGAACGGTTCTCCGCGGCCATCGGCGGCCACTGGCCATCGTCACCGGTGCCGGAGTCGGAGCTGGAGCTGGAGCCGGACTTGCCAGTAGCTGACTACTGTGGAAAGAGCAACAACAGCAGCAGCACAAAAAGCAGTATAATAAAAAAATCAGCAGAAATAAGAGCAGACGAAAGCAAAAGCCGCGACATTTTCATGCTGTGTAAAGAGGGGCCTGCCACACCACACACCACCACCCTCCTCCACATATGGGGTCCGGGCCGCACGGATCGTTGAAAGCGGCGTTAAAAAATACGTGCCCGTGCATGGGGAAAGTGCAGAAGGTTCGCCGCAGGGCATCTGGCAGTGCAATATTTGTCTATGGAAGGAAGCCGCGACAACTGAAAGGGAAGCGCACGGGTAGATTGCATTGCCAATATAATGCCAGAGCGGACGCGTTGCAGTTGCTTAATAAAGCCTATATACAACAACAAAAAAAATGAAAGAGAAACAAGAATCCGCAGACATGCATGTACTCCAGGCCAAACAGGAAAAATATTCAATTGATGGATGAGACTGAAAAGAGAGGAATATTTTTAAAAGGGGGAAAAGGTGCATTATATTTTGCATTACGATACATCGCAAGATGGGTGTTTTTTATTTAAATATCTTTGCTTTTCTTGGGAACTCTGATATATAATATATAGTTAAAACCACTATTACCCAAGGAAATGCAATGGCAACAAACAAGATGGTGTGTAAAACGGCATTATGATTTGATTTTCCCCGTTACCAGAATTTTAATTAAGAGTCTCAAATATATAACAACTTTTGAAATCGTTAGAAAGGGCTGAAATTTTCCCTGAGAACATTCGAATGAATATCTAGAGCGACATAAGGCTCTAAAATAACTTCTTAATTGCATTCTATACTTTTGACTAAAATAATTACATGCCCCTCTTCAAGAAAATATTATTCTTAATAGTCAAAAACCTTAGAAAATATAGCATTTTCATCCACATCTCGACACTTCTATATCTATGACTTGGTTTCCATTAAAGACCTGATTCTCTGAACATTCTTTTCGGGGCTGAAGAAGTGTCATGAATTATGTACAACTTAATCCAAAAGCTTTTGCAAAACGGATCGATGTTGGTCGGTGCCCGCAGAGGGGCCTTGAAGATGCATTTTGTTTCCTTTTTCTTTTTTCGGCCAGCAAACAACGGAGGCATACCAGTAAAAGCAGCGGCTACAACAAATTGTTGCCAAGTTTTCTAGCGCAGAGTCTAGGACAGAAAAGCATAGAAAATGGCACAATAAACACTGAACGCATATAAAGGACATTCGAGTTCATTTGTTCGGCGCGTTTGCGGCGGGCCATGGTTAGGGGGAGGGCCCCGGCACTGGGCGTGTCCCTTTCGGCCCGGGTCGACTGGTGCATTGTAGTGGCTGTCGTTGTTTTTGTTTTGTTAAAAACAATACCACGACGGCGGCACCGAAAAATAGCTGCAACAAACTTTTGCAAACTATACAATTGCATAAAATCGTAAAAAATTTATAGGGAATACATGCGCTCTAGGGGAGAAATGGGAAACAACTACAAGCGCTGCAACGGCAATTGTTGCCATTGCAATGGAGGAGTGGAAAAACGAGAAAATATCTGAAAAAATAAAACGGTTTAACAACATAGGCGGCTGTGTAATTGCGCTTCACAAACAAAAGCATCAGAAGCCACCCAAAGGGCTACCAATAACATTAAAGTCAATAAAGGGGGTAACTTGCTAAAAAACAATGAAATTCAGAGGACATAATAAGAATAAAAAATTAAAGGTATAAGTATTAATATAAAATGAAAATAACTCTGCACAAGAAAAGTTACATCTACATAATCGGATAATTTTACGGGTTGGTATATGCGTTATTGTCAAAGGAAATGACTCTTAAAAAACCTAAAAATTAACTTTCCTAGTATGCGAGAATATATTTTTGTTTTAACTTTACTATTTACATTTTATGTTACTTGTTCTGAAATTAATTTACAAATTTTAGGTGGCTTTAACTGCTATATTTTCCTCAATTGATTCTTATTATTCTTATAAATAATATCTTTCAAATAAAAGAATATTTATAGCACTTGTTGGAGTTACTATTTTAAGCCAGTATATGGAAGACAACTGTAGTCTCTAAATTCGCCGCATTTGGGCTTTTTATGTCTCGTCATAGTGTCCTGACTTTAGAATAGACATAAAGATATTTTTTCTACAAACACGCTTTGTCCTTAGACCTCTCATGACCCCCAGCTGGCTTACATATTGGCTTTGGATAAGCTTGGGCTGGGCATCATTCATCACTCGGAGGTGGCTTCATTCATAACTTTTTGCTCATGTTTGCGTATCCCCCAAGCCGAAACATAATTTGAGTTGTACCTGGCCCTGGCTCAGAGGGGAAAAACTGCAAATGAACTTGGATGCCACTAGCGAACGACAGCGGTGTCGGTTTGTTCGGTTGGTGGACATCGAGGTGGCGGAATCGCTGTGGGCTTTTGCTCTATTCGCAAGGGGACTTTTTCTATTTTTCAATA